TTATCTTGAACATTAATTATATAATAGCGCGCACAATATAACGTAACTGACCATTGTTTTTCTCGCAAATAACTCAGGAAATACCTTAAGTTTCAAACGAATGGTATATTAGTTACAGATAAGTTAATGTATTTTTAAGCCAAAGTGATAATGTTATATATGCTGTTAATACTAAGCTTTACCTTTACCTTATAGTTCAGAAATTATTAAAATTTCCCTTCAGACCTCTCTATTAGACTTTTTACCATACTTTGGCTGTAATTAAATATTTATAACTAGAAGAATTATTCTACTCGAACTAATTCCCACGTTAATTAAAAATGTCATAGATAACAATTGCAAGGATGCTGCAGAAGTCTGATTATTTTATCATTTTCAGTTTTCAAAGTAAAAAAAAAATAAGAATTTTTTAGCGACGCGAGGATAAAATCCTTTTAAAATCGTGTTCTGAAAAAGTTTTTTAAATGTCTTTTCCTGCAAATATATTTATACAGCTCCGCTACATAATAATAGGTAATTCAAATCGGGTGTACAAAACGAATAACCATTTTTTGTGACATGACTTTTTACTTTTAATATAAAAAATGGTAACACTGGTCGTTATAGAGTAACATAGCCCGTGTATTTCGTGTTAGTAAAAAAAACAATGACGCGAAAAGAGCTTTGTAACCTTGAGTTGACCTTGTATGTTTCAATTCGAAACTTTTTACCTGTACGTTTCGGTCCACGGCATTATCATGTGGAAGAACAATGTTTAACAAACGCTAATGATAACGTCGTCATAGTGACTAAATGTAACTAACAAAATAGTCTCACGTCTATAAATAAATTATGACCAGTTACAGAACAAAGGCTGTTTTAACTAATTAAAAAATAAGTGAAATACATTATGGTTGACACTAATTTTTCCAAAGATTCGAATAATCGTACATTTACCAATGTCTTAATTGATAGATTAACATTGAACAACTTCGTCTACAACAATATTAGTTCGGCTCTTCATCAGCTCTCTGTAGACGCCCATGGAGGGGCTCGAAGCCTACCCTAAGTTAGGGGTGACTAAGCCATAGTCAACGACGCAGGCCCAGTGTGGGTTTAATTAATATTACTAATCTTTAGGACTCTATTAATAAAATATTATACTTATTTAGGTTAAACCCGTTTAGCCATAAAGAACGATTTTTTGTTCTTATTAGAATCGCTGTTAGAAGGTATTTTCCTTATTTGTGACCATAACAATGGAAATCGTGATTATTGTTTACACAATTGACACGAATAAGTTGAACTACGTGAATCAATCTTATGCCTAATATTTTTTGTGTTACTTCAATTTAGCTTAAGATCCTTCGGGGGAGGAGAATTAATTGTTGTCTTCGCCTTTTAATCTTACTAATATTATGAATGAGATTGTTTGGATGGATGTTTGTTACAAGATATTTCGAAAACTCAACGGATCTTAATAAAATTTGACATGGAGGTAGAACAAGTCTTGTAGAACACAGGCTACTAAGTTTTATTTTAATTCTGCGCTGACGGAGCCGTGGGCGACAGCTAGTTAAAACATAAATTTAAATGGAACTGTTAAGTACTGTTTTTCATTCTAGCGTATTATATTAGGTATATGTGACATATCTATACTTAGTACTGCGATTGTGTCATTTTGCGGACTAATGATTAGTAATCTCTTGACCGGAATATTTTCCATCAGAAATACATTTCTTGTTTTGTCTAAGCTAGATCAAGACCGTGCCGTGCAAGAACAAAGATATCGAGATGCGTTCGTTAGATGTTCAGTTCAATGAACCGAGACTATTACTGCTTTCGGCTAAGTCGAATCGTAATCCCACGCTCTTTTCAATTAACGTTCAAAAGTAAAACGATTGAAGTAAAGAGGGCAGTTGGACCATTTAGTTAAAGCAATTGAATACGAGCTATAAATGTTTCTTTCTGTTATATCTCTAACACTAAAACACGTTATCTCTGTTTTGTCAAAGATAATGACAGTGATGACGATGATTTATATAGAGATTTTGGTCTCAGAAACCTGCGGTAAGGCGAACTACTTAAGGCTATTTGCTTCTAGCCTTTGACGCCGATATTTTAAGGGTTTCATCCGATTTTATCGAACCACCTTTATTATCAAAATCTGCTACTTCTTTACTAGCAAACACTGTGGTTTAAATTAGACTTATTACTATTCAATTTAACTCTCAAAGGAAGATTTTTGTCGTTTATCAATGTACCTATTGGAAATTTACTATTGGATAATACAACTCTTGAAATGTGTTGGATCAATGACCTTCGAAATTAGGTATGATTGTCACGTTCCTTTATATGAATCCGTACAAAATCTTATGAGACGATGTTACAAAATCGATCATATTTTTGACAATACGTTTATACAATGTTTTTCTATACTATAAATTGAGTAAATTAAAAATATGTTATTAAAATTTAATGGTTATTCGATCGGAGATGGATTTTTATTTGTATTATATTACGTTTCAACAAAAAATATATTTTCATTATCATTAATTATCGCAAAATATGTTTACCAAGGTCATTAGGTTAATCAATCGATAACAATTAAATGATTTCCAATATTATGACTGGTGAACAGAAACATAAAACAGTTGCTTTCGAATACAAACAACAAATTAATATGGGTATACCTAAGTATAAGTAATTAGCGGAAGTGTAAATAATATTTGAAAGGAACTCTAAACAAAGTTTGATTCATCATATGCATAATGATTTAGTGATCGTGTAATATACAAAAGACGGAGCATTAATGCCGTCTGGTTAGTCGGTGTTTCGCTCTGCGCGCAATGAACGCTGCCTTGAATTACGTCATTTCTTTTTAAAAACAAGTTCAAATCGAAGTGAAACACGAAGCAAAAATTAACCATAAGACTTTGATAAACTTTTAATCAAACAGTGTATTTAGTGATATATTTTCTAAAGTAATTTTATAATCTTACTTCCTAACCTCAAAGTGGAATTGAAACGAGTGCATTTACAGTTGTTTACCCACACAATCTTATACGATCTTTTTCTTAACCTGTGTTTACGTCATTTACTCTCAGAATTATGACTCGGATTGGTGATTCAGTAACAGTCATTTAAGGGACCCGGTCTTTGCATTAAAAAATAATCATATTTATTGTTGTTAAAAGTGAAATATTATTAACAATGGATGAAGAATCGATGTGGAGAGGTTTTTATGAAAAGTTGCAGCAACAGAAATCTGTTGAAGAACAAGTGCATGAAAGCAGGTAAGCCTTTCACTGGTAAAGGTACAAAAATACGTAATTTATTGTGCAAATAAAAACTTATTTATTCTAATACGTCCACATAAATTAAGAAACAATTGCAGCTTGTATTAAATGTATCTGTATTTAAATGCAATATTTGAGTTTGCGTTACGAGCATAAAGTAAAAATAAAAGTTGTCGTTGTTGCAATGAAATCCTACCTACTTGTGTAAATTTGAAAATGAAGATCGAACTGCAAGTTTACATTTTTGGTAATAAGATTTACTTACGTATTTTAAAGCAAGCGGGTTTTATAGGTCAATGTCTTATTACAAACAAGTTTTACTGTAAACACATAAGCTTACTCAGAAGCTTAGTACTTTAATTTGAAACTAGTATTTAAATTATTGTCTACATATCTAGTTTTAAAAATAATCATACGTTTCAATTAACAATTTCTCAGAAAAAAATTCAGCATCTTAGAAAATGCTTTGGCGCCAACTTATAAAGACTCGGAAGAATTTACGCCGTGCCGGTTAACAAAGATTAACCTTAATTAACCTTTTGATAGATATACTAAATTATGTATTGTATAAAAACCTAATATTGGATTGAAGCTGAAAGTTTTTACTATTAAATAATAAATATTATATTATAAAAAGAACTTTTTGAATCAGTTGCTCTATACATTAGATTTCCTTTTTAACACGAAACGCGTTTTAATTTTATACACAAAGAAAATGAATAATACTAACCTTCAGTCTTCTTTCATGCTAATATGTTTTTCATAAGTCTGCTTACTGTCGATGATGATTTAGTTCTCTTGGTTGTGGCGAACTTAGAAATGACGTCTTCCAGTAGAATAGTCATGATCACACATGGTCCTGACTTTCCTTCTATTGTGAATTTCTTTTCTTCATTTGTTCATCACAAGATTAAGATTATCCAAATCCAAAGCCATAAGCAACGAAATCATTTGAATTCGCAAGCTGAGAAAATGAACACTATAACCAGGTAAACAAAATTGATAATTTTCTATCACATAGGTAAGCTGCATACCTTCTATACATATTATGTATTTACACAAATATGGCAAAGCCACCATGTGTTTGCTCTTAAAGGGTTTTTACAAGAAATTTGAAAAAATCACTTTAAAAACTGATGCATCCAAAAAAACTTCCTAATAAATTGTAGTTAATAAGTACAGTTCTTAGTCCGAAATGCACATTTCGAATTTTAATACAATAACCATTTTGTTAAGCTCTTTTCTCCCGATACCGAAAACGGTATTAAGTTGTTTTAATTTCAAACAACTTATTATTACAGTAAAAATAAATTTAATTTATAAGTGCTAAACAGGTATATTTGGTTTTTATTTTATGACTACAATATCTATGCATATCGCGCCATCTATAATTTGGTAGTAAAATGTTTTCAATGTGTTGTAATATTGCCAATGTAAAAAAAATTACCTTAGATTGTCAGTAAAATAAGATATGTTTTGAAACAAATATTTGAGACACATATCAGGTTACAGTGAGGTGCGTAAAATGATATCGTGCTGTGCATTAATTACAAAACACATAAAGGTAGGTTTTTAACATATATGAAACCAAATGTCTATATGAAAATACTCTTTAAAAATGACAAATCAAATTGGAAAATCAGCCGACCTAAATCAAAATAAACAGGGGAAAAGTAAGATGATTGTGGCAACACGCCGTATTATCTGTCAATCTTCGTTATCTCTTTCTCGTTTTTCGTTTCGTCCAATACGGCAAACGTCAAATCTATGTTTTTATTTAAAGTTTTTTAAATAAATTGTTATCAAGAATATCAAGGCAGTTAAATAACTTCGCATTAATAAGTTATTAAAGTGTATCATTTATTGCGCATCTTATCGTTTACGTCTGTGTTACGTAAATTGAGATACTGTGAACAGTGTTCGGCACCGGGCAAGCGTAAGAAAATGATTGTTTCGCGAATCTATACAACTCGAATTTGTAAATTTTATACAATTCTATCAAGAAACATGCAGTTGCTCAGGAATCAGGCTTATATAAATGGGCAATGGGTGAGCGCCGACACCAATTGTGTATTTCCGGTGCACAATCCTGCGAATGACAGTGTAGTAACTGATGTACCTGATATGGACGCTGGCGATGCTAAGAAAGCGATTGAGACTGCTTCTACTGCCTTTGAAACCTGGAAAAATACTACCCAGAAGGAGCGCTCCTATATTCTTAGAAAATGGTATGATGTTTGTCGAGAAAATACTGATTACTTAGCCGAAATCATAACGGCCGAATCTGGTAAACCACTCTCGGAAGCTAAAGGCGAAGTGGCTTACGGTAATTCGTTTTTGGAATGGTTTGCTGACACTGCAAGGCACATAAATGGTGAAGTGTTAACAAGCCCATGGCCAAATAAACAAATTATGGTAACCAGACATCCTGTTGGAGTAGTATCAGTAATAACACCATGGAACTTTCCTTTTGCAATGATCACACGTAAAGTAGGTGCTTTAATGGCGGCAGGATGTACTTGTGTTATTAAACCATCAGAAGATACACCATTAGCGGCATTAGCTGCTGCACAATTAGCGGAACAAGCTGGTGTACCAAAAGGTGTTATTAACGTGGTTACAACAAGTAGAAAAAATGCTCCCGAAGTTGGCAAGATAATGTGTGAACATCCAAATATAAGATGCATATCTTTCACTGGCTCTACTCATGTGGGAAAAATCTTGTATGGAATGGCAGCTAAGGGAGTGAAAAGGGTAGCTTTAGAGTTAGGTGGAAATGCTCCATTCATTGTATTTTCAAGTGCTGATATAGAAAATGCATTAAATCAGGCAATGTTAGCTAAATTTAGAAATAATGGTCAAGCCTGTGTTGGCGCAAACAGATTTTTGATTCATGAAGATGTGTATGATAAGTTTGTTGCGGGTTTCAAGGAATACATTGGCAATAAATGTATCTTAGGTCCTGGTACAAAGGAAGGTGTAACTTGTGGGCCTTTAATCAATGATATGCAAGCTCAGAAAGTATCCGGCTTGGTGAATGATGCTATTAAACATGGAGCAAAACCATTAATTGGTGGAAAATTCTCCAACATTGGGAATAAGTTTTATGAGTCAACATTATTAGTTGATGTTAAACCTAATATGGCTATTTATGGTGAAGAGATTTTTGGGCCGGTTGCTGTTTGCCTAAAATTTAAAACAGAAGATGAAGTTGTTGAAATTGCAAACAATACAAACAGTGGACTTGCAGCATATGTGTTTACTAGAGAGCTTGGCCAAGCATTCAGGATGTCTCGTCGTTTAGAGTTTGGGATGGTTGCTATAAACGATGGTATACTCTCAGCCGCTGAACCTCCATTTGGTGGAATAAAAGAATCAGGAATAGGAAGAGAAGGAAGCAAACATGGCATTGAAGAGTACACAGATATCAAATATACTCTATTCTCAGGTCTAGATATGTAATCTGTCTAAACAGATTACAGTGCATTGTGTACCTTTTTAGTTATTTTTATTAGCTTGCAATCCTCTAACTGTAAGTTTCTGAGACTAAATTCTTAATTTTATTTTATTATTAACTCTGTTTTGTCAAAGATAATGACAGGGATGACGATAAAATATTATTTAGACATTTTAGTGTCAGAAACCAATGGTAAGCTATGTTATTAACCATTTGTGTAACACTATGGAACATATACAATATAGGATTGTTCTTTCAAAATAATGGAATTCATTTGTTAAAATAGAATCGTCTTATAACAAAATGTCTTTATTGCTAGTGACATTTGGATGTTTAAAATTATAGCCTGCTTTTCTTCCGTTATTGAGAAGCATTAAAAATAAGCTATATCATTCCAGTCTTCCAATATTATGTGATGATTAGAATTATAAGTATAAAATACTCAATAAGTAACACATATATGCATTTAAACTGATATATAAACACGGCTAAACACTCACGTATATTCGTCCGGTGGCGGCACCGACTAGTTTCGAGCCCATCGAGGGCCCTTCATCAGAATGAGTGGTACTAGTATTATTAGTGAGCGACAGGCCGCGTCCGCCAAATAATACCAGTACCACTCATCCTGATGAAGGGCCCCCGATGGGCTCGAAACTAGTCGGTGCCGCCACCGGGCGAATATACGTGAGTGTTTAGCTGTGTTTATATATCAGTTTAGTATAATGTCTCGCGAAAGTTTGAATAATTTATATGCATTTAATTATGAATTTTGTTATTCAAATTTAAAATAAATTATTTAAATTGTAATGATTTTGAACAATAATTTAACATATTGTGGTAATGAACAATGTTAATAAAATTATTTGTTATTTTAAATTAATATAATTTTAAGAAATTTGTTGTTATCAATAAACTTTTATTGTGTTATTCAGTGTTGTTATTTTTGATCTTTTTACCTTTTTCAGGTTTGACTTATAAAGTGGGTCATATTAAATTAATGTTAATAATATATTTCTATGTTCTAATGAGCACATGCTTTTCTATCACATTGTTAGGAATACAAAAAAACTTCAATAGAAGATAACATTAATTAGTTGATTTTACAATCTTATTAAGATTATAAATGGAATTGTTCAGATGGATGGATGGATTTCATCTGAATATTCGCATTTGTAGTATTAGTAAGATTGACTAAGCTTAATCAAAACTATGAATACATTTTTCTTTTAAATTAATAATTAAATTAAACACTCACATCCATAATTTATAGGAGAGAGAAAAAAATAAGGGAGAGTATCATTTTCGAAGGGAATTTCCTCTTAACAGGAAATCTTTTTTTCTGCCCACCACATATTTATTCTATGTGTAAGGAAGGATAACTCAATAAGTTTTATAATTTTTTTACAGAATTCAAGATGTGGACGATAGTTTCTTTGAGAAGTTCGGGTCAATACTGAAACAAGTGTCACAAAAGGCTGCTTTAGAGGAATCAACTCCATTGGCTCCTCTGAAGGAGGTGGAGGAACAAGATGAGCAGCAGAGCGACGTCACGGATCTGCAAGGGGAGAGGAGCCCTGTGAGAGACTCGGATAGCGGTAATGAGACACTTTTGGATACAGACTCGGAACCTGAAGATCCGGAGAAGATAGATTTATACGTTGAAGCTGTCGGCTGGAATGTAAGTTTTTTTTTCACGTGTATCCAAATTTTACTCTTCATGTATTTGATGCGAAAAATGTATACGATTTCTTGGATTGTTCAATTTGAGTTTAATATTCAATTTGATGGAATTCAGTGCAGCAAGAAAGGGTTTGCGGTACGGCGTTAATTTATTTATAGATTTTATGAACGGATATGTCGGTCAAATTCGTTTTATTGTTCCAAGCGCGGTTTGAACTAGACATTGAGTTGGACTTATTTAAGGAAAGTGGGTCGCGTTTCATTCTGGATTATACAAACGCTGACAAAACTGGATAGGTGTAAAGATGGTGGCATTCGTCCAATATAATTTGTTATATCATGTCTATTATCTACAAACTTATATCTTTACTAGCTTGTACCCGTGACTTCGACCGCGAATCTCGCTTGCAATTTACCAGCAAGTTAGCTATTAGTGTGGCATTTTATTTCAAAACGATATGTACTATAGATAAGGTATGTTAGCTCGTAGGTGCACAATGGCCGCGTCTCGAAGTCGATGGCATGTCGCCAATGATACTTTTACTTTCCTGAAACGTTCTCCCAACATCAGAGCCAAGGTTTTTCAGTGGACAACGTCACTTCAAAATGCGTTCATTTGGTTTATTCACCCATCATATTTACATGAATGGAGTGATTAATTATCTTAAAATATTTTACTATATTATACAGTCAAACCTAGAGAAGCGCGATTCTAAAGGCCCGCGATATTTATCTGACATATCGAGGTTATCTTTAATCCAAGTTTCTGGCTTATGGTGGTCGTCTGTCAGGACAGGACAATGACACTCGCTTATAGATGTTTCTCGCCAATCCATGTCCACAAATCATAACCAAAGTAAATAAATTCCACGTAATTTTATTACATTCGTAGTAGGAAAGTATTACGTCACAGATTTAGCAAATACTATTTAAAAGTATTATAATATAATCGTAAACCAGATACACTACAATAACGGTTAGTTATTATACAGCTGTTCAATTAATTTGATAAGACTTTGAAGTGCGCAGTCCTAGGAATAATTTAGCACAATATCTAGATTGAGCACATAGTCTGGTTATCTTCAACGCACAGACGCACGAAACATGTATACCAAACGATACATTATAATATAGCATATAATACAGCTGTTGCCCGCGACTCCGTCCGTGCGAAATTAAACAAAAACTTAATTAGCAGTCAGTGTGTTCCTCCAGACCATATTTTGCTCCATGCCAAATTTCAGAGAGATAGGCTTGTACATCATCATCCACCTTTTGTGTGTGTGTTTTTAATGTAGTATAATTAAAAAAAGCTATTAGTAAGAAATTTATAGCTGAACACTTAGCAGTTTTTTCAAAGGGCTCGTAAAATTGAATCGAGAACAGTTTAATGGTGATTCACACGGCGCACACTGTTTCCATCTACAAAGCACGCATTAACAGAAGTGTTGGTGTTGCGTATATCCGCTATTCATAACGTCTAAAACACATTGCTGTGTTAGGCCAAACACTCATGATCCGGTTTTAACCGCAACCTAATGTGAGGCGGCGGCTTCCGTAGAAAGATTTGTATTGTGGTTATTTTTCTTAAATTCACTCAAGCCGGAGTTTCCTCCAGTACACGGTTCGTGTTAGGAAGCTTCGGATGTAGAAACTTGCGGTACTTAACGATATACGAGATTGTTCATATAAATATTCGCGATACGCTCGCAAGTTTTGCAGCTTTGCGGGCGGAAACCGTATCTTGAAATGAAATCACTTTTTTACATACTGTTTTTACAACGAAAGTCACTGAATCTGGCTGCGCTTATAATCGTACCGTGTGTGCTTGGCCTTATAGCAGTGGTTAATAAAATAAATAAATGGTTCAGCATGTGCGTACCTGTCTAGAGACCTTGAGAGCCACCTACATTCCCCGCATTACATTTTATGGGATATATCCGTCAGTAACCACGTTTACATGTTTCAATTGCATTTTCCTATCATATAGAACGAAATTAATTCCTCTTAATTATGCTTCGTTCCGACATTACCAATGTGTTGTACTTATTACGTAATCAATTTTACGTAGTTTAATAATCATCATCGTGACCTCCCTATGCTTATCTCATTTTATATGGGCTCGACACACCAGACTTTTGTCCTCCAAATCGATATCTAAGTCTAAACGAAACAATATATAAACATAATAAAATCGATGCCGTAATCGTATCCTTTGAAAGCAAAGAGGTTGTATAAACTTCCGTTTTGTTTCTATAACAAAGTACGCAAATGCTCTACAAATCTTTTTCACACTAAGGTTTTACAGTGATGTAGTATAATAGTACATAACAGTACTGCTATTGTTTTGAATCCTTAAAGCTATGAGGTTCAACGTATACTTGTATGCGGACATAGTTGTTTTCTCAAGATTTTAAAAATGGTGAAAGAGGAAAAGAGAATTAGTGAATTATTGGAGATTCAATGTAAGTTTACATTCAAACAATAGTAATAGGAGTATGTACTGCCCTGTTTCCTGTTCTGTCCACTGTCTTCGTATGAAAATACACTAGGGCGCCTTAATTTCCTTTGATCGGTTCGATCTAGAAACTCAAGCAATAAAAACTCTTTCATATAGTATTACTATGGCTTCCTGCTCTTATGAAGAATCATAAATCTTTATTTTCCATTAGCAAAGGTATAAAAATAGCGATTAACATTATCCGGTACTATTGCAACATAAAAACCAGTAAAGCGCTATTATAAATATATTATCATAGTCATTAAGTAACCATAGACAATTAAATGGATGATAAAAGAGATTTTATACGATAAAATGTTTTTTTTTCTTAATTTCTTGTTATTTTAAGAAGTGTGTATGTATATAAATTATAATGGTCTAATACGTTTATTTCTTAGCTAGTAGGCGTTTATTTTGAATTGCTTATTTCATTTTTGGTTACACTCCTTAAACCCCTTTTGGTTAAAAAGTACTATAAGTTGCGTTTCTAGTTAACTTGTTCAAATGAACTTTTTAAATATGTATCTTTCATAAAAGACGCAAAACTTTTATGTTCATAAGTAATTTTCATAATAGTCTACCCATTTTCTACTATCAACAAAAAAAAATAAAAAAACCTTGTATAAAAAATATAAAAAAATATACGTAACTTGAATTGGATTTAAATTGTAGAAATATCTCGCGAAATTCAAAGGAAGTTGTTAAATAATAAATTAGTATCTTTTTTTATATTATTGAGTCTGGGTTCATACGTCTCCGGTGCGGTGGCGGCGCTTTGCGAAAATAGAATCGGCCGAGTGCCGAATATCCCGGCCCGAACAGTGCAGTGTGGCGCGTAACTCATCCGTGCACGACCAACTGACCCTCGACTCCGCTATTATCACGAGTGTCATAGTCCTATAAAGGTGTCATAATGTTGTGACAATAATTGGTGAAAAAATTCCAACCAAAATTCCACCAAATTATTTTAGATATGACAGAAGTATCGGTTTGTGGAATGAAGTGTAGTGTGTAAATGTTTGGTGACAATGAACGGAATGGGGACATTGAGGACCAGGTTCAGGGGCATCAAGAAAGAGCTTCTGGACAGACAGACAAGCATGCGTATACAATCGATGACTGTATGTTAATACATAATTTAAATGAACCTCTTACATAAAACGGACGCTTTTAGTAGTACATGTTTTATCCTTGGGTCCACCTTTACCATCCACCTTTACAAAAAAACATTTATTGTCTCTGTTTTTTCAAAGAGAATGATAGAGAGAACGATATGTGTTTTTAGAAGATGCTTCGGAAATCCGCGGTATCTTAAAAACATTTCTAATATAACGGCCACTGCCACTCCATTTTTAAATACGCAAGCAGTCAACTTAGTTCAATCAACAATCAATGCAATTTGTTGAACCATAGTTAAGTGGTTAAATGTCTATCTGAGTTCAGATTTTCAATTTTCGGCGTTAATTTCAAAAAGTTGTTTTTTTTTTATAAAGGAATCTTTTGGCTCAAAATCAGAAATGTAATCAGAAATATAAGTATGACAATTATTCTTCGGCATCTTTTAAAAGTATAAATTATGACAGTGTTTGCGTCATTAAAAATATACTATAATGAATGTGGATTATAGTTACCGTGGGTTTTTAAGGTCAAAATCTCCGTATAAACCATCTCTGTCATCTTTGACAAAACAGAGATAGTAATATTTTTTAAACGGCGATTTTGGTCTTAAAAACCCAGGGTTAGTAGAAACAATAACATTACTTTAATTAGAAGGACCCTTAGTATTTGTTTAGTTTGGTTTAAAATTGCATCCCAGACTTTACGCGCTGTTTTTGAATGACAAATGAGTTCATAGTTTAAAAATAATCCCGCCAAATCTGCATCTTGTGCTCGTAAAATTCCTGCATTTATTTCTTTTTTAAACTGTTATATTTTTGAATTTAGTAAAGTTATTTGGCTAAGAAAATAAAAACAAAAATATTTATAGCATACTATAAATACATAAGTCGATGTTGCTTTAGTTCCTTAACTAGTAGCAAGGGTAGTAGTAATAGTATGGGACTTAATAGTATCATCGAAGGAACTGTTTCGCCTTGCACTTGACAGGAACAAATATGCCATATTAGCGGCCAACCTTTACTGAAATGGCACTAGAAGTAGAAGAATAGTATCTATAGATGTACGAAGTTGTTAAAAAGATAGAAAGGGTTTAATTGTATGAATTTCTAAATCAAACCTTTTTGTTTGTGTGAGTGACTGGCGGATAAGCAATTTCCTATCCTATTAGAAAAAATACGCGAAGATTCATTCAATGGGAACACGGAATACAGTATCTCTTCAGTATATCTTCATAATATCCGTGATTTAATAATATACCAACTTAATCAAAAGTAGGTTTCATTGTATTAAGTAGACAGAACTGTGAGAAACTGCTAGTATGGTTTTTAATTAGAACTTCGCCGGTTAATTTAGATCGTTTGATAAGACGATTACAATCTGTGTTACTTACATTAACCGTTTAGTGTTCTAATAAACAAACACAATGTTTTATTATAAAGCAATGTAACTAGGGCAACTAATCAAAACCAACAGCCTAACGTAAGATCGATATCATTTCCACGATGAGGTATAACCCTACCAGTTCGTAAATGATGTCATCAAAGTACATGTTATGTTGTACGAATTGTCTTTTAAAAATGGTTGGGTTTTCTCTAGCATAGGGTAAGGAAAACAACCCTTATGAATGCATTTTATTCATTCGTTGCGTGCCTGGTTATTAGGTAGTACGTTTTTGGTGGTATATTTGAATTTTTAAGTGCTTTCTCGGTCAATGAAATTGTTTTACTACTATGAGTCATCTGTAAGTTTTGTTACATAAATAAGTAGATTTTTTTTACTGTAGCGAACCAATTGAATTATTAATTTTAGTTATTGATTTTAAATATTCGAAAAATGTTTATTTTTTTATATTTATCACATGTTACTTCTTACCTAATATATTATAAATTCGAATGTTTGGATGGATGGATGGATAGAAGTTTGTTAGAAGGTATCTCGAGAACGGCTGCATGCCTATCGATGTATTTTGAGTGATATATAGAACATAGTCTGGGAGAATATATAGGCTACTAAAAAAGAAACTAAATTGGTTTCTTTTTTAATTCTATGCGGACGGAGTCATGTGTAACGGCTAGTAAAAACATACACATTAAGGACTTCTTAATAAAGAAATGTATAATATTTATTTTTAAATACTTAGTATGTTTGTTCATTTATTATTTTTATTTTTGTTTCTTTATTATAATATTTTAAATGGCTTTTTAATTTTCATTTTTATCATCTTATACATTCATGAGATATTTCTATAATTGTTCTCGAAAGGTTATTTTAAATTGTAGTTACTAAGTACCACTTCGCGTGTACTGTACCTAAGCAATACATTCGGACGTGTTGTTATCCATAAATATCGATGTTTTTACTGTTTCATGTAAACTTTGAAAGTTAATGTACACAGAGACTGTTCCATTTGTCTACTAAGTAAAGATTCCGCCTTACTGAGAAATAAAAACATTTACGGAAAACATTAATTTTAGACGCTATTGGTTTTAATATACTCTTATGATTCCATGTCGTGTTGCATACCTTTAATCGATAGAGGGGGACACTAACAGAAATAAGATATTTCCATTCCATACAAGTCTCCTCTGCCAAATCCAACTTCCCATACCTTTCTTAAAAGGAAAGAGTAGGTAGGGGAAGACAACTAACATTAGACCTTTCGGCAAGTACACTCATCAGACGAAACGCGGAATCGCTTTTACTTCTCGCCTGTCTTTTGTGGTCGTGGTATTTCATCGCTTAAGTCGACCCATTCATACAACAGATGTTATTGGGAACTTAAGTAATGTTCAATCGCTGTTTGTAATATAAGTGTAAAATTACAGGTGGATGAATTGTACTTGGAAGTTCTGTACGAGATTTTACATAATGTGGGCGGTTGTGATATGGGCTGTGAGGTGGGACAGCAAAC